TGCTGCTGCTGCTGCTGGCCTGGTGCGCCAGCCAAATGCGCTGCACAAGCCGCTGGCCATGGTGCGGCCACATCGCATCATTAGTGCGGCACAGCTGCTGCCCCTGGATCAGGCAATTCCGGCATCTGCGGTGGCGGAGATGCTGCTGCGCGAGTCACGCTCGCTGGATCCGATGCCGCTGCAGCACCTGCGAAAGCGGCACGAACGCGGCAAGCTGCCACCCTCGAAGCTTTCCAAGAACAATTCACGCTCCCTGGACACGGGCGTATCGCTGATTAGCGGCAATCCCAACGGCGAAACGGCCGCCGAGGAGGATGAGACGGATGATCTGTCGGCCAATCCGGTGGATGCCAATGACGGCTACGACGATGAGCTGGGCCTGCTCATGCGTCACGACAACGGGCAGCTGCCCATGCTGCGTTACTCGAGCAGCTTTGCCAATGCCCAGCCGAGCATTGTGCCCGTCGGCGCCAGCAGTAGGCGGCGCAGCAGCAACGTCTCCTCGAGCAGCTGTGCCAAGCACTTGAACAACAATTGCAACGGCGGCATGAACATTGAGGAGGATCTGCACTCGCCGCTGCTGCAGCGCCAGGCCTCGCTCACAGCGCCGCCCGAGGAGCTGATGGCACACTCGAAGCGCTGGCACTCACTTGAGCACATGGAGCCGGGCGTCACCGGGCATGGCAACAGCGTCAGCTATGCTGCGGACATTGAACGCCGACACGATCAAGCCCATGATGGCGGTGGCGGGAGCGGAGGCTTTGGCGGCGTCGGCGGCGGCGGCGGTGGCTTGGATATGCATTCAGCTGGCAATCAGCGTGGCACACGCGGCGGCGGCGGCAGCAGCAGCAAAGTTGGCAACTGGGTGGTCAACTTCTTCAAGGGCAACGGCTTGCGCAGCGTCGGCTCCAGCGGCGATTCCACGCTGCGGCGTGTGGGCATCCTGCCCAGCAGTGTGCAGGGCGTGCGCAGCGGCTTCACCGACATGACCGCAGCGTCCACGGCACGGGATCGTGAGAGTATTGTATAGTTTGGCTGAGTGTTAGAACGGATGGAACGTCTAAAGGGTGGGAATGTTACTCAGGAACAGTGCGAGCAGGAAACGAATGTCTAAGGTATAAATAACATACATACATACACATCATTTATAGAGATCTGTTTTGGCTTATATGTATATTTGTTGTACGTTGATTGTCGTTTGTGTTTAAAGCTCTATATGCCTATAGATGTACGTATATACGCAGATACACATACATATGCACGTATGTACGTATGTATGCATGTGTATCGGAAACAATTACTAAATGCATATACATATTAGAGTAGCCATTAAATAACAAATATAAAAAGAACCGTCTAGTCACAAGGTCTTCAGACTAGTTATTGATTTATAATAATAATAATAATAATAATAATAATAATAATAATAAATATTATAATACTATATGCATACCTATTGAAGCATAAAGCGCGCGCGCACACACACACACACACACAGCCCATACCAGAAAAATCAAATTTTAATTCTCCAACTTGCGCAGCTAAAAAAAATTACCAACATTTTAAGCATAACTGAAATTAGTTAATTATATTTGCACAAGTAATAATAAAAAACAACAATTAACAATATATAAAAAATATATATATCTAAATATATAAACGAAATCAAAATGTGTTTTTGCTAGTATGTAAATTAAGTGCGTGTGATTGTACGTAGTTCTTAAGTCTAAACTATATACAATATTTAAATACATATATATAATATATATGTATATATGTGTGTGTTGATACAAATGCATGTATTGTTATATACTTATATACAAATATATATGTCTATATATGTATGTGCATAATTTTATTAGCTATTTTAATTGATAATAAAAGAAATTGTGAGCAGAATTGCAGAACGCAGTGAGCTGTTTTTTAGCTGTATCTATGTATATTTTTAAAAATATATAAAATTTGTTAAATTTGCCATATATAAATATAAACAAAACAAAAAAGCAACAAACAAAAACAATACCACAGCAATCATTTGAAATGGATTCCCGGAATGTTTGACAAGCAGCAGGATCCCAAATGCATGCCATTATCCAGATAAATGCAATGGAGCTCCTTCCTATTATATATTTTGCTAGGCTCTTTGAATTTGGCTGTCTCCACGCAATAAATGGGCCACATTTTCATTAAATATTTCACTTTAATTTATTTTCGCAATAGAGAAGTCTTACTAGTTTAATTTCGAAAAAAAAAAAATGTTCAACCATATTATTAAAGACTACAAGCTTACTTAGTACAAAATATAATTTAAGCATTGTTGGAAAAGCCTCAACAAGTAAGCATCTTCTGTGGTATATTGTCCAAATTCCAAATTGCGATGCATCCAAACCGTAAACTAGTTTCGAAAAGTTCCAAATCAAAGTCGGAGCTCGGTACAGTGTCCAGACTATTGACCAAAATCGGGAAAACTGATAGCAAATCACTCGCTTGGCCAATAGCCCGGCCAAATGGATCCAATGCACGACTCGTACACAAACAGTCATCAAACCAGTTTCTTAAAGTACCCCTGGCGGAGTTTTCGATACCTGTACAAAAGTTGCCCAGGAAAAGGAAGAATTACGAGCTACAACAAAACAAAGGAGATTTTTTTCATATACTAATGAACAATAAAAACCAGGGTCAAGCGATTGATACAAGAAAAACGAGAGCAACTATAACTATGAATGATTTAGATAATGTGTATTTAAAATATACAGAGCCCCGAGTGCGCCCTTCAGATTCCGTAAAACCATCAGTCAGAAAAAGCACACTAAGTGGGCAACTCAATAACCCACTTCTGCAAAGTGCACCACACAGGTCTTCTTATTCATCGAGGCATGCTGTGTCCTTCAGGAAAACTAAGCCAATGTTCACTTTTGGGCCCGACGATCCGGTTGATGAAGTGTCAAGAACTCCTGCATTAAGCATAATTGAGGTTTACAAGCTTCCAATGGTACAAAAAGCCGAAAGGAAAAGTTCAATCCCACATGTAGCCTTGAGCACTTCCATTGAGACAATGCTAAATGAAATAAGCGTTCCGAAGGCGAAGGACAAAAAGGATCAAGCAGATACAATGTCAGAATCGAAAAAGGAAAAGCTACGTCAGTCAGAAGGTAAAACCCTTAAGAAAAAAAATCATTTAATTAAAAAAAATGAAAGTAAATATGACCCTGGAAAGGTAAGGAAAAACCATCGTCTAAATGAAGGAAGAGAGAAGGAAAATGCAGTCAATGAAGCCCACAAACATCATCATTCTGAAAAAGAAGAGGAAGAAGAAAATACCTCCAATAATAGGAAGCGAAAAAGTCATGTAAGTCAAGAAAATACATTAAATGCAATCAATGCGAAGAAGAACCGTCGTCGCAATAAAGATGCCCAAAAGACATTAAAAGATGGCAAAGCTAAGAAAATACGAGACAAAATAAAAGACCAAGACCAAGATAAAACAATGACAGAAATAGATGAAAGTCAGCCTAGTCCAAGAACAATGTCAATTCAAGACAATATAAATGAAAAACGTTTCTCCAGTAAGGAAACAGCTATGTCATTAGATGAAGGGGAAGATTATCTATGGAAACCCATTGATCCGAAAAAGAGTAAGAGAAAGAACAAAAAGTTATTAGACAAGGCTAAGGAGGGCATCATTTCGGATAAGAAATCGACTAATAGGAAGAGCATAAGGATATTAGACAGGGTTAAGGCGAGCATCAATTCGGCAGATTTTCGGGATATGGCAAAACGCCACAAAAGGAGAGAATTCAGACGTTCTAGAATACAGGATGTAATCGATTACTTTAAACAACATTACAAAAAAAAAAAAAAAAAGAATTGGAAAAAAAGTACATTATATGAAACATCTCTCATTAAAGAATCAATTGTAGCTGTGCTTAATTCACCCAAAAAACAAAGCATGGCGGGACTAGGTAAGCCTATGATAAACGCATCTATTTTAAGAAGCATACAACGGGATCGCATCACATTGAAAAACTTTCAAAATGGTCTAAGGATTAACAGATCGAAAATCAATTTCGTGCCACCTCCGAAAACTCAGGAAAAAGGAATGTCAGTCAGTCGACAAACTACAATTGAGGATGTTCGAGCAAAGCGCCGTCAGGCAAATGAAAGAATGAAGAGAATCCAGAAACCGAACGAAGAGTACACTATCACTTCAGAGTCTCCAAGTGATTACCATTACAGATATAACAAAATCAAGCAGTATATAGAAAGCGAAACGGATCTACCCAATATTGAAAATATAAGCATTGATGATATTGATTTGAAGCAGTTCCTATACTATCCGTACAATTTGCAGGGCTCCGAAGTTCAAGAAACTCCAAAACCCATAAAAACAATACGTAAATCGCCAGTTAAATCGATTGTAAGGAAAACCAAAGAGCCAGAACCCGCGCCGAAGCCTCCGATTAAATGCGAGTGTCACATTTGTGTGGCCATCTATCGAAATAGGCCAATCGAGGACAATCCATTAATTGCCAAAATGAAGGAGGAATTGAGGCGTCAAGAGCTGAAGGCGTACATCAAAAATATGCAAGTATTTAAATCAGATCGCGATAGACCATACGATTCGCAGTATAAATTCACAAACGCTGGTCTCCTTCCTTATCGAAAGCCACAAGATAACTGCTTTTGTCAATATCCCCCTTTATTCTGTAAGAAAAATGCTTATCTGCACGGCTAGAGCAATGTCTGTACAGAATTTAGAGAGTTGTGTGAAGTTTATTCCATGAATAAACCGATTTTTATGTTACTATAATTGTTGTTAACAATCAATATAATCTTTTTAAATTGTCGCCTGGGGTTTGAACCAGCACCTTTACTCAGATAATTGAACACGTTGTTTCATTTTCGATTTATTATTTCTGTTTATTTTCATGTAAGCTACGAACTAGGTACAGCTAAACAAAAATAATAACTAAATGGAGATTACATAAATAATTTTGACTAGATTTTGTTAAGTGAACGTGTTAAATGAATAATCACAAAAAGGCCGCAATCAAAAGTTTCTAATTATAAACAAAAGACCAGAGAGGCCAAAGCTTTGACTTAAATCTGAATGACTAGGTATTATATTTTACTTATATACATAATATATCATATACTGATTAGTGTGAATTTAAACGATCCTTAAACCACTTGAGCTCTACTCGAATCTATAATTGAAGTCCTTTATTGGAATGAATGCCTAGATCTACATTATAACTCAACGCTTGCATCTAGCCTATTGGTGGTCCTATACTCGTATTGCTGATATATGTATCTACCCGTAACAGATACTATCTTAAGTGAACTTGGATGTTGTTCTGCTCGCCCGTTCTATGTACAACAGCTGTCGAGGGGCTCTCTACACGGCAGCCTCTTTCGATTTCGTCCTTGTCACATTATCCAGCAGGGTCTTGGTCGCAGCGTGTGCCACCTGCTGCTTGAGCGTGGCTGCCTCGTAATCACTGCCGCTCTCGTCGGCAAACTGGATGTCGTCCAGGTGAAGGTATTCTTGCAGATCGCGTGACGACTTCTCCACAAGCGTTTCCTTTTCCACGTATGAACCGGTCATTGATTGGTTTGAATCCTGGTCGCCGTCCGTCTGCTTAAGACTCTGATGCACGGCCACGATTTCCACTTCGCGCTTGGCTGCTTGGCTGGGACGGAGTGTACCGGATTCGGACTCATAGCCGGAACTGACTGCATTCAATCTGAACTGCTGCCTGGCCTGTCGGCGCTGCTTGCGGGACATATAGGGAGTTGGCTGCTTGGTGGGAGTGCTTCTCTGGACTGTCTCGCTGGGCGATGTGGCCTTGGATTGGTGCTGGCTGCTGGGCAAGGAGCGCTCCTCGGAGCTGGGCGTATTATCCGTTGTGGTGGACTTGCTGCCCGGGCACAAATAGTGACCATATTTGGGCATTTGCATTTCCTCAAATGCAGCATGCGTCTCCTCGGGCATTGACGTGGGCTCTGGCGTCTTGTCTTCGTCCTCTCGCTCGGGTGTCTCCTCGAAAGGCGGTATCCAAATGCAATAGGCTGGATCCATGCCCAGATAGGAGCCGGGCGCCGCACCCGCATTGATCACATTGTAATCGTAATAGTCCAGCTCAAGCTCCTCTTGGTTACCCAGCGAGAACTCGGAGCCAGGTCGCGCCAAGAGCTTCTTGCGATTCTGCTTCTCCTTAGACTCCTTCGGATTGCTGGTCGTCCGTATGGTGGCCGTGCTGACCACGCTCGCTGCGGGTGAGTAGCAGCCCTGCAATTAAATATACAAAGAGCTCCGTTAGCCCCGATCAAAGCCCACTCAAGTGAACACTTACATTGGTTAGGGAGGTGCTGACACTGCGTGATCCCATGCGACCCAGGCACAGCGAACCGGAGCCGGAGTTCAGAGATCCGGCGTCGCGCAGACTTTCGTCCAAACGGGAGCTGAGCAGCTTCAGAGTGACCGCATCATAGCGATCCGAGTACTTGCTCAGCCTGTTGCTGTTCAGAGGTGGACTATTGCACAGGGAGCTCATGCCCGACGAGATGATGGACTCCGAGTCCTTGGCACTGTCCTTACAGCTCAGTGGCTCTGCCGGAGAATGCGTGCTAGTCTCCTTTTTCGCCTCATCGAGGCGCTGATCCAGCTTCAGCTCCAGCTCCAGCTCCGGTTCGACCGAGGACGGGGAGCCAACTGCGGGACTGCGACTGTCGGTAGCTGGTGAGAGCGACGTCAACGAGGCGTGCTCATTGCGCAGAGTCATTATGGATGCGGTACTACCAAACGCCGGCACTTCCTCTCTGCAAGCATAACAGCTAATAAGAAACGTACTTGGACTTTGGGCAAGACTCACCGCTTGACCATTTGTTCGTCCTCCTTGAACTCCGTCTCGTGGCTCACGTTCTCGACATCGGCGCTTTCGCGCAGTATGGAGTGCCGCAGCTGACGTTTGGGTCGCAGTTTCACCAGGTAGATCACCTCGGAGAGCAGCGTGGTCGTCGAAAGAGCCCGTGATGGCGGTCCGTGCAGCGAGCTCAAGGAGGCTCGCGGTGTGTGCAGCTGCGAGCCCTCGTCCTGTCGACGTGCCACTGCCAGGTGATACTTCCGATACCGCACCACGTACTGAGCACCTGTTGAGTCGAATAACACGTGATACCCATTGAAAATGTGTACATAAAACGGTATATTGCTTCTGTGCACAAAATGAAGCAGGCAGAAGAATTCAACTGCGGCCAAATAAAGTTTACGTGTACTTAATCACGAGCTTGGTGGATCGAGCCATGTCCGTCAGTCTGTTTGTCTTTCAGTCTGTCTTTCAGTTTGTCTTTCAGTTTGTCCGTCCATTTGACCGAGCTCTTGTTTCCCCCGTGTGGTTGGCGGGCATTAGAATACCACCACAGCATGTCACCGCTTGTCGTATGAGGCGACTAAAAGAGACAGTTTCTTAATGTCCTTTCGGGACTAACGGAGGAAGATCCCACGAATCCTCCAGTCAGTAGGTCGAAGTGAGCAGTTCTAACTGCTCATTGACGTCTTCTTGTCGGAGATCTTGAACATTACAAACATTTGCAATTGGGTTGTTGCATATCCGAACTTTGCTAGTAAAAGGAACATTAGGTGTAATCCCCTATAAGGCGGTAACTGTATGTATCCTGGGTAGCTTGGGTTATCTTCTATTGGGAAACCCGCAACCCCTGCTACCCTAACTAGCGTTCTTCCTGAAATATTACGAGGTCTCTCTCTCTCTTTCCAAGTATTAAATGTAAGCCCCATTTACCATTTAGTAATATACCCTTATACCATACTTGACTAACCTAAAAGCGCACTTATTATTATTATGATGGTGGCAAAGACCATGGCGCTCAAATGGACCAGGGTGAACCGCATCCTGGACAGAGACTTCTTTTGCAAGTGGCTGCGACTCTTGGCAGATAGACGCGTTGCCGCCAGAACCGTGCTGGCATTGCTCACATTTCTGGATCCTAGAAGAGCAGACGGGTATTAATTTGATTTTCCATAGACATTCCATGTGCAGCTACCTAAGGGCTTAACGTTGGCCATGAAGCCGCCGGTGCACGACGCAGCATCGTATCCCCCACTGGATGTTCCATTTGCGGTCACGTCGCCCGAGAAAAATTCCACCAGCAGCTGTGCGCCACTCGACTCGGTCGCCAACGGCAGCCCAATATGACCGGCAGCTTCAGCAGCGGTTCGTCTAGTGGCAGCATCTCCATTGAGCTCTAGCAGCAGAGTGGAGGAAAGCGAGGGTCCATCGCGCACCTTTATGTACTGCGTGCCACATGGCACACGCAGAAAGCTGAGCTGCAGTGAAATGGTTGCCTCGCCGTCGACCTGTTCATAGAGATGTGGTTAATGCCAGCTGGGGATTGGACTATCTACTCCTTACCTGGATTAGCCAAAAGGAGCGTCCGGGACAGCTTTGTGTGGCGCCGGCAATTATGCGCTTGGGCTTGGATGAGCCGAGGTGTACAATGCAGCCACAGCGGCAGCCAGGACCGATTTCTTGATGAACCTCGGTGACATTCGACTTGGTCAGGATGCTGCCGCTTGTTTCATAGATGCAGTCCCAGGTATCCGCAATGCTTTTATTACATTTTTCCGTTTGAACTGATTGACCCTAAAGGGAGCAGAAAGAAAAACAAGCTGTTATTGCAGTAAAAAAGGTTCCATTCCTACGTTTCCCTACATTCCTTGTCATTTATGGAATCTCACGGAAAGGCTTCATTTAAAAGTTACCCGGATTTCCAGTGTCTATACCCTTTATTTAATCGGTTAGCCGAAACAAAATATAACAATTATTAATAGCATGCTGTTGTGTTTAGTAGAACAGGTTGATCTCAAACTCATCCTCCTCATCTATTTCCTCAGTCTCGACAGTCCCGGACATGACCTCAGTGGCTGTCATGCTCTGGACGGACTTGGTTTCGGGCAATTTGACGACTTCCTCGGGTACTGGTTTGGCCAAAGGTATGGGGCCAGGCGGCGGGGCGCTGCCCTCGCTGCTGGCCTTCTTCACAGAGACGGAGCTGCTGGAACCTTCGGGCTCCTCGAGTGGTTCTTCCTCCATCTCAATGGCATCATCCTCACGCGACGAAGACACGTACAGGGTGGTGCCGAATTCGACATCAATTATACATAGGCGATCGTCGACTTTCTCGGCACCCTTATCCTTGACCTGACCCTTTAGCAGACAGTCTGGGAGCTGCACCTGCAGATCGGGTAAATGTTGGACCACCTCCGTCTCGAATAGATCGCAGACAGCCGGCCTGGGCTTGTGTGGCATAAAGCCCATTTTGCCCGGTGTATACAAGGACGAGGTGACGGTACTGATTGTCTCCACGGACGGCGTACGTGGCAGCTCGGCGGAGTGGGAGCTGACGATGTTCATCAGCGTGGACAGCAGATCGATGCGCGCCAGTTTGTTCATAGCAACCGTTTCCTCCCTGACCTCGTCGATGACACTGGGCTCGTCGACGTTGGCCTCCTCCAGTCGCTCCGGGAACAGCTTGATGCACTGCTGGCTAACGATGGCGTCGCGCACAGTCACCTTGATCTCCTGTATAATGCCACGCAGACGTAATATCTCGCCCTCATGCTGGTCATGCACCGCCTCTAGATGACGCTTCTCCAACGTCATGTTCTCTACGCGCCTGCACAGGGATTTGATTTTAGCGCCGGCATCCTTGTTCTTGGCATCCACGAGCTTATCGGCCTCCTGCTGCTCCTCATAGGCCCGGCGGTACTGCAGCGCCTCGACGTACTTGCACTTGAGCCTCTCATAGTTGTTGGTCAGGCTCTCGATGATTTTGATCTTGTTGATGGAATTGCGTACCAGTTCGTTTTTGATCTGGTCCAGGGCGCTGTACTGCTCCATGATTTCCTTGTGCTTCTCCTTTTGGTTATTGTACTGCTGCTGGAGTTTGATCTGGGACATCACCAGCAGATCGATCTCCTTCTGGAGGGCAATGTTCTCGCGTATTAGTCGGCGTGTGTAGCCGGCATTGCGAATCTCACTGGAGCGGGTAAAGTCTTCGGATACCTGAAGCAGCTTGGCCTCGACCTCCTTCTTTAGCGCATCCTTCTCCACAACAGCGGCCTGTTCCATGTTATAGAGCGCCTCCTTGTGTGATTTTTCCTTTTCTCTGATCTCGACGTCCTGATCATCAAACTTGGCAAGGAGTATATCGCGCTGTGTGCGAAATTCATCCAAGGAGTTCAGCTTGCCATTGAGCAGCTTTATTTCCGAGGTAAGCTGGTCATGCATCGCCTTATATTTGCCCTCCAGATCGGCAATTTTCTCCTGAGCCGCTCGGTTCTCCTCGTCGCGTACCTTTGACACCTCCACGAGTCGTTCCTCTAGCTCGGTTATGGAATTGTTGCGCTCCGCCAGCGTGCGCTCCAAATGGGCGGCCACATCGGTTCGGTCATGGTCAACATCCTGCAGCTTGGACGTTAGAATGACATTTGACTCATCCAAGCTGGCCAAATGGGATCGCAGGCGGGCTAGCTTCTGGTTCAAATCGGTTATCTGCAGCTCATAGAAGGTGCGATCCACCTGTGTCAATTTGTTCAGCTCCGTGGACTTTCCCTTCCCTTTCGCCGCCTTTTTAGCTTTTGGCGGCATTTTGCGGAAGTTCTTTCAAATACGCTCCCTGTTCAATTGTGTATTCAATTTTGTGCTTACAAAATAATATTTCTAACAATTACTATATTTGATTTACACATTACGTTCGTTGACTTTGTGAAATTCCCCCAAACAAAACCTAGTCGAACGGTCGTCAGGGCAAAAAGCTTGCTACCAAATTGCTTCTATGGATGGGAACTTATGCTAAAAGCTTTGGTTACCAAGGAAATAATTTAATACCTTCAAGCCAAAGTCTTCAACCAAGTTTCAAGTTAACCAAAGACATCAAAACTTTGACACTATAAAATCTCTCATTATCCCTAAAACGTCTCTTGCACAATAGTTGCCAACAATAATGTGAAAAGTAAAGCAGAAGCAATTCCGCAAATGTGCATTCTTTTCGAATTCAGGTGTAACAACCGCCGCATCGTTTTCCCAGTGCTAGTCTCTGGATAATGAAGTGGAGCCGGCAACAATAGTCGCGACCAAAAACAAAGGTTTTCTGGAGCACTCCATTGTGTGTAAAAAGTAGTTACTTATTTTAGTCAGAGACATGAAGTCCCTCAATAAAAACTTGCTGTGGCATAAACTCCAGAGTGGCCCGAATAACATAACGACATAAGACCTTGTTATCAAAATTAAATGTATCTTCTTTTAATTTATAATCTTAAGCCCAAGACAAATTCATTTATGCGTTTGTTTTATATGCAGATAACTTTGCATAGTTCGCAGAGCAGAAAAAAGGAAAAACAACTGCAAAACTTAGAAAGGGTGTTTCCGGTCGCCCTCGGGCAACGTTGTAAATTTGCCAACGCAATCTGGAGCAAGTGTCGCAATATTGTAACACTCTCCGCCAGACACACAGCACAACAAAAACATGGCCGCCAGCAAGGGTCCTCTCCGCCAGACCCACCTCCTCCCACCATTCCCACATTTACATTCTTTTTCCTTTATTTTTTTGTCGATGGGAGTTTGGGGTGGCTCCTAGTTGTGGATACCAAGGCAAGAATGAACTGAATCATGAACCCAACTGTTTGCCAGACTTGATACAAACATAATAGTACTTGTGTGCGAGTGTGTGCTAGTGTGTGTGTGCGTACGTGTTCTTAAATAAATTGTGTCTACACGATTTATAGACAGAGCTAAAAAGCAAAAGTTTCTAGCGAAAGTTCGACACGTATCCAAATTATAGAGTACACCAACGAGGTTTAGTTTTAGTTAAAGCGTTTAGAGACACACAAAACTTTAGCGAAGATTAGAAGAAATTAGCCGGCGTCGCCCGGCTCAAATGGTTAATGTTACAAACGCTTGAGTAATTCGCGGACATTTATATAATACACAACAGATGAATTTGAACCGACGACTCGCTGCTTCTTGGTCCGACGCGCAGATACCAAAGCATAGTCTCATGATTCCTCGTTTATGGTTTTTATACAAATTTGATCACAATTTTCCCCACTTGATGTTGTTGGAATTATTTAACATGTCAAAGTAAGTTTCTAGACAAATGTCAGCTGCTCAGCTCTTGCGGCTTTGGCTGTGCCTTAATCATCAATTAACCAGGACAACCCATTTAAATAGCTGGATTTAAATACAAACCTCGCAGAATTTGGCACCGTATCGCGGCGGCGGCGAATCACAGAATCGATAGCGATTGCGAGTGCCTCCCAGGCAATTTGTTGAGCACGGTGTCCACTCGCTCCAAGCACCCCAGCCGCCAGTATCGGAATCTGTGAAGTAGTTGAGAAGATTAATAAAAACAGGCGTGCAAACCAAAAGCAGCTTAGCAGGCCATATTCATGTGTGCCTGGTGAAGCTAATGCTAATTGGCTCGAAGTCAGCTTTTATTTGGGTTTCTCAGGTAATACGCTGACACAGGTGCATGAAAAGGTGTGCTTAACGGAATATGACAAGGGAGAGTGGGAGGCTAGAGCTTATCTTACCACTGACGGGCAGTGTGGGCACACAGTCCATGCGCACATCCGCAACGGCGCCGGAAATGGCCTGGCTAACGTAGACGAAGCAGTACTCCACGTACTTCTCGGAGAACAGGTCGCAGCTGAAGTAGAGAGAGTGCTGGCTCTTGACGACCCGCTGCTCGGCGACGTAGTGCAGCGAGGTGGGCGGCTTGAGGGAGGCGACATCTGCACGTAGCTTGGCATAGAGACGCACTCGATCACCCTGCTCCAGTATGCAGCCGGGGTATTCGTAGAGGACGCCCACGCCGGAATGCGGATCGCAGGGAAAGATGCTGCGCGCGTACACATTGAACACAAACTCATCGCTCCAGTCCACGCTAAGCATACGCCGCGTGGTTGGCACGTTCAGGGATGTAATCATGGGCCGCAGCTGGACCGCATAGTTGCCGGCCAACCCAAATAGTTCGCAGCCCAGTTCGACGGTTTTGAACTTGGGAAAGCCGTGCACCTGCTCGGCAAAGAGCACGCTCGACTTTGACACATTGGCGATATTGTAGGAGCAGGTGCGCTCCTTGCCGCAGTAGACCAGCTCCAGCCAGAACTCTGGCAGCGAAGGTTGTTCAGTGCCGTGCAACGCACGCTCGCAGTTGACCTCCGGAAAGCGTAGTGTGACCTTCACGGGCGCCCTGGGATACGTGCGCAAGGTCACGGGACTCACCAGCATCTCAGCACTGGGCCACCGCACGTCCAGGGTCTGCAGCAAACGCTCATCCTGCGCTGGCATCAAGGTGGTTGTCGTCAACGTTTCCGATGCATGTCGAACTGGGTCACTGCGATTGAGGGTCGTCTTTAGGTTCCGGACCACCTGCATCTCGTATAGGCCGCCACGCACAAAGGTCTGGCATGGCACCGTCACCTGTGTGATATTCTGGCGTGGATCCGGAAAGAGCGGAATATTCTGGACAACCTCCTTGCGCCTGCGCTGCAGCACCAGCTGGTTGGTCCTGTTGCTCTGGCCAGTGTCATTCGAAGCCTGCAGCTCCCCCTCAGCTGACGCCGCATCATTAATGATTTTGCTAATGACTAAAGTGCTCATTATGGTGTTCACCGTGCCCGTTTCCGTGCCCGACCCCGTTCCCGCTTGCAATCCTGTGCCCGCGCCGGGGCTGTCAGTGCTCAAGTGGGCGTCAACATAGCCGTCTGTGATATTGTGACTTTGAGGCTGGAGCTGTGTTGTGTTGGTGCCACCAACGCGTGCCTCGTCCTCCTCCCCGCTGAACTGTATCTGCACATGCAGGTCGCCGCTGAGTGCAGTGAATGTGCTCGGGGACATCAGGCGACCCCTTCGTACCGCCAGCACGTGACCTTTTGTTGAATTCGAGCCAAGTCGTGGCACAACAGAGGCACAAACGAACAAATTAATCACCACATGAAAAAGTACAGAAAGATAAGAATTATGCACAAGCCTTTGTAATTTATTTCTTATTGTCTGACATCAGGAGTTGCTTTGCCGCCGCCCTATAAGCCCTCAAACCAAACTCCCGTCCCCCTTTGACGCCTCTTTGTTGTGGTATTAAGTGCTCCCCAGTTGGCATAGGCAAAACCTCTTATAACCGGATTTCACTGCCAGAACTTTGTATTTAGCATTGTTGTCAGATTCTTATAGGTGAATGTGTCATCCCAGAGAATTGGAATGAAGCGAATGCCCTTAATATCCAGGTGTATATTGATTTATACGAAGTGGCATCTTATGGAATAACAGCATACAATTAAAATGTGATTGATGCCTAAGAAAACGTTCTCCACGTTACAAATTGCCGTCAGCTTGGACTTGAGTTATCGCCATTTGGGCCACTCTCGAGGGGCTAGACTCGCCCCACAGCGCACTCTAAAGTAGGACTCTGTGTCTCCAGCTTTGGAACAAATTAATCGGTCTTCCGGTCGCTATCACAACAGACTGCGAGCCCATGAAGAAGCAGACCCTAGCGACCGGTGGGTTACTGGAAGGATAACTTTGTGTCGCCTCAATAACAGACCACAGCACAGTTTGGATTACCACAACTCACACCCAGACTCCTTAAACTTTCAATACATGCATGTTATTTCCTCGCTATAAAAAGTTACACTTCACTTCTTTTATGGTTCAAACATTAATCGAATTAATCTATTTGGAAAACAAGCAAATAGAGCAAGTGACAGTGATTCAATTAAGACATGTGGCTGAATTAATTGACTGAACTGCTGTTTGATGACTGCTCGAGTTGACAGATAACCAAACTTCGAGGGGTTACACGGGGGACCCCATTTAATTCCAACTTTTATGACAACTTGAAAACTGAAAACTGGTTTAATTGCTGGCTAAACGGATTGTTGATGGAAATAAGTTTCTGTAGCTGCTATTTAAAAGTTTCTTTCTTTCAGTAAATACTCTTCTACACTCCTATTTGGACACTCTATAGGAAAAACCATTATAAACCAGACTACCCATTCCCCCTCCATTCCCCCTCCAGAGTTTTCACTGTTTTACGGATACTGACTGTGTCATAACTTTAGTAACCTTTTATATAACTACGACAGCGAGTAGTCGAAGCTAGTTGTTCTCTTATAAATCAGCCTTAAGATAAGTAGACTAAAGGCACTTTCTCTGCCCACTCCCAACTGAGCGGATAACTCAGCTCATAACTCAGTTGGGAACAAAGAGAGCTGAAAGTAATGCTAGAACAAATTACGCCTTAGTTTATGATAGATGTAGGCGAAACTCGGGCTGAGAAAAGCCGACAGACACACTTAAGCAAGCAGAGGGAAATTAAAGATTCAGACATCCACTTGGCTTGGCACGGCAACTGTCACTCACTTGTGCAGCAGAACAGCAGGAACATTATTGATGGTATCATAATCTTCCACTTGACTACTGATATGAGGTCTGATGCTGACGTGCCAACTGTCTTCTTTCGTTTTCGATTCGTTGCCATTTTCCTTCTGGTACGCTTCCTTCTTGCCATTGTCGACGTCTTGGAGGCCACTGCTCTTCTCCTTCTGCTTCTTCTTCGGCTTCGTCTTCTATATAGACGGTGTCTTGGGTGGGTTTGGGTGCGACGAATTGAGCCGTTATTGTTGTGGCTCAGTTGAGCGCCCACCCAGTGGGCGGCGCAATTTTTTCAACCCGGCTCTGTTATTTATTGTGTATTGTGTTATATTTTTTTTTTCCTGCTGGCCGATTAGAGATTTTCCATTAGAACTTAGGGCCAACATTCGAACATCTGAAATTGCAAGAAAAACTAACGTTAAACCAAAACCAACAATGGACAAAGTAATTGCAGCAAGCTATGGTCAGATTAAAGCATTTTTGTGTTAATAATTCAATTTACAAAAAAAAAAAATAAATAGCTAGGACTAAAATACACTGAAAGAAATAATGGCTGTATTATATTTGTGTGTGTTATTTATTGTTATAGCTTTGTGCTTTTTGTTTTCTTATATTTATGGCTTCTTTTATAGCAGGACTCAACTTTTCAGAGAAAATTAACGTGCTAAGAAACCTTAATACATAACTTAAATATTAAATATCTACAGCTTTAATGTGCTTTACAGTTCTTGATACAATATATTACGTATGGATAGTTTATAAGACGATAAATTTTCTCTATGTTCTTGAAAACCGCTAAATATTCCCTTAGAATATCAGAGTCAGCCATTTGCAAAACTTAATGGTTTATAGGTTATTAGAGAAGTCGACTGTCATCGAGCTGTGCCCGGTCATTAATTACTATCGCGTGCGTGTGTTCATTTTCTCAAATGTTTTGGCCTATCTGTTTAGGCACCAGTCATCTCTCAGATGGCCTAATTTGGTTTTAGCGACCACCTAATGCGTGTTGGTCCAGTCGGGCACACGTGCTACAGGGTGATATTTCAACATGCCCAGCTCGCGACGGCAACAAGGGGGATGATAATGAAGCCCGACGACAGCAGCAGGATATTTGAAAATATTCGGGAATTTCAACAATTTGTAGCTACAGCAGCTGAGTGTATACGGCTTCATTATAACGCCTTGGGCCAGCAGAAGTAAAAAAAAAAAGTAATGTGAGAAATCGATATTTGTTATCGAAATAACAGTTATCAAAGTTTGCCGTGAATTACGGACATTTCTCATATAATATTATAACTCTTTGTATTATACACTTTAGTCCTGCATGCCCACGATCTAGAAATAACTATGTGGATCTAGTCCCCACTAAAGTTTTCCGATTAACGGTCAATCGATATCAATTAAGTGCACATGGCTCTGGTCACACTGTGTGCGTTGTGTGTGTAAAAGCTGCATGCAAAATGATCAAGGGAAAGTCGTAAATTTACAATCAATTGCACATTTTACACTACCCAGTTGCCAAATCTCGCTCTGTGGCACCCGCCCTGCACCACCATCATCATAAATATTGATGAAACACAGGGACAAGGACTCTGCCGTAAATCTGTCTTTAATGTGCGACATGGGGAACCCCCCCCAAAAGACACAAACTATTAACTGCACTGTGCTCGGCCGAGTCCTGTGGACCGCCCATCGCTGTAGGATGTGTATCTGCATCCTAATTCTGACCGGGACCAGAACTGTCGCAGCATGGAAAATCAAAGCAAATGCGACTGCAAAATTGCCCAGTGGTGCCAAGCCTTGTGTTTCTGTTGTTGCCATTGTTGTTGTTGTTGTTGTGTTTGCGAGGGCAGTTCGATAGGCAAAATGTCAATGCCCCTGCATGGCCAGTTGGCGTGCGTCGTGCGGCGGTGGCTCGCGGGCGCGTTGCCGCCCTTCGCCTTACTCGATTATACTTTGTGCCTCGAGTTTAACGTGTTATGCACATTTTACACACATTTACGATACGTCTGTGTGCATGCGCGAGTGTGTGTTGTGCGGGGGTGGCATTTTTCCGAGTGCTGAAATGCGGCAAAAGGCAACCGCATAAAGAAAAAAGAAGAAAAAAAGAAAAGGGAAATGTTCGTTTCAAAAATAAGTATTCAAACATTTACACGCTCTGTTTACCTCTAATCAGTAGATAGCATTGAAAAGTCCATTTGCTAGCCCACATGCGGTATCCCCTTTCATTTTCATGACAAAATGTAAATATTTAAAATGCTTACAACCCTAATGGATTTTATATCGTTATTATGTCATCAATGCGGCTTATGTGATTAAAGTAAGCTGCGCTGCAAATTTATAAACAAATAGTGCATTTAATTATCGCCCTACTACGCGATTCTCATAGAAGCAAGTAAGCCTCACAGGTTTCCACGCTTTGATTATAAGTGTTTTATATATGTGTTATGTGTGTGTGTATGTGTGTGTATTCATGCTTTCACTCTGGCTTTCATTTTAATCCTCTTGCTTTTTCTCCTCCTCTCTTATTCTGCTCCTACTCTGTTCCGCTCTATATTTCTCCCTATATGTGAATTTTTGGCTAAGCACAAATTTGCGTACATATTTACATATAAATAACCATTTATGTTAAGAAAATGTACACCTGAGCACAATTCATGTCTTCGTATATCATATAACAATATCTTTTGGTCCTTTTGTGTGTCTGTCTCATGACTTAACCTTAAACTACATTTCTAAGCTTTAAATAGGACTAGTTATTCGGCACAGTGACAGCTGCAGGTGTAGGAACGAGGGCAAGTAGCACTTTTCGCTCCTCAAGGGGAGCTTATTTATAAGTAGACATAACAAAACCACACTTGACCCAAACCGAAAGCAACAGAATAATATGTGTAACTAGTAAAAGCAGCTGACAATAACATTACGCATACGCCGTGGTGCTTGCTCTGGCTTAAGCTTGAGCAACTTCTCGAACCTCACCCATTGTAGTTTTAATTGACTTTAGCTAACAGATTACTTGGGGGATTGGCACTTGCATTGATATCAAATTATCAACTGTTTCCGTGACAATGACCCGTACACACACACACACGTATGTACGTCCCTGCCAGACCCATTCATTTTAATTACAGTTGCTTTTAAGTTTCGTTCCATGTGGTTTTGACGTGCATTCAGTTGTGAAACAAATGGGTGCGAGTGCAACACAAATTATCGGCAAATTATGTGGCACTGGATTTTCCACAACAGCAGCCATGTCGGAAAAGCTTCCACTCCGCAAAGCGATTGACATTGAAGGACGAGAAGCTGAGAGCGAGTACGAGTACCAGATGAGGTGCCTGTGGATGTCCCCCAACTGTCTGGCTGCTTGTCGACAGCTAAGCACTTCCGCTGCTTAGTTAGGGCAACATCCACACACTTTGCTCTCCCATATCAAAAGTAAGTAAGAGTCGCACGTCAAGAGGAGGCATATTAAAATAGCTGTGCGAATGCAACTGACACGCCCATACAGCGCCGCCCACAGCGCACTTCGCACCGCCACCAACTAGTTCAACGGTTCAACTTATTCGTCGCAATTTTCTGCTTTCCACTTTATGTAGCTGTCGCCATATCACGGCTGCAGGTAGGAGCCAAAGTTGGCTGCAACTGAGGTCCATTTAAGCCAACTCAGACGGCAAAAGGGTGGGCTGCCATATGGAAATATAAATAAGCATAAAATGAAAAGAGAAAAAAGCAACAAATACGAACATTTACAATCTACTATGTACATTCTATGCACATATGTGTGGCCAGACAGCCGCAGGCGAATGCTTGGATTGCATGCAAGCGGACACTGAAAGGACTCATTCGACTCATTCTGTTGTTGCCCCCAAACCCCCGCTGGGCGGGCGGGCGAGCTCCTTGGGCTACCTTTGGCTCAGGCTTTATGAGTTCCCCGCTCAACTACTCAATATTTGAGTAGCGACAGCAGTTTGCAAATCAACAACTTGTACGGTCGACACTCTGTTTATGTCAGGGGCGTAGTCAGGATATTTATAGCGGAGCAGCTTTCTCAAAGGATAATCAACAATGGGTATCAAATTTCAGGAAATTCATAAAAGCGTAATAAAACATAACAAAATATTGGTTTCTGCATAAAGGTTTTTTCTATATATCTATATCTACATCTATATCTATATCTATTTCTATATCTATAACTATATCTATATCTATTTTAGAAATAGGGTAAATTTTAT